TTGTTTGAGCAATGATTCGGCGACAGTAGGAGAAGAATTTAATGATTTTGTTGTCAAAAAAGGAACATCAGTAAAATGTTTCTCAAAAGCCATAGCAACTTCTTGATCAGATCGCGTTAAATTATTGAATAGAATAGAATAGAATAGAATTATTTTTATTCAATATGGATTATTACATAATACTTATTGAAAGTCATTATTTTATTTACCACTGGTTCGGAAAATACCTCTGTCCTGGGAAGAACCAGCAAGAAACCCAGCGGGACTTTTTTTTTAAACATAATTTCACTTAACAATAATTTTGTTTATACAATTTTAAATGAATTTTCATAGAACCAGCATGGTGGCGATCACCTTATTCCCAGGGGTTATTTTCATTCATGTATTCCTTGATATTATAATAACCCTTTTTGTACAGTTTTTCTTTAATAAAACTTTTAAACTTGTTTATTGACAAACTTTGAACATGTTCTGGGAATCTGTTGTAAAAGCGTATACATTGCCCCATAAATGAATTACTAATTCTGTGGAGTCTTGTAAGTGGCATTACAAGCTTATGTTTGTTCCTAGTGTTTAAGGTATGAACATCCTTATTCTTATTAAAGCTATTTATGTTTTTATGTACATAGATTACATTTTCATAAATATATTGCGATGCCAAAGTTAATATGTTTATTTCTTTAAATTTTTCTCTAAGGGACTCTTTACAATTTAGATTATAAATCGCCCGTACGGCTCTCTTTTGCAAAACAAATATAGCTTCAATATCAGTCGCATTACCCCATAGCAAAATTCCATAAGACATTACGCTATGAAAGTAACTAAAATACACTAACCTAGCTGTCTCAACATCTGTGAGACTTCTAATCTTTCTTACAGCATATGCTGCAGAACTAAGTCTGCTTGCTAATTTAGATATATGGGGGCCCCGTTGAAGTTTCGCGTCAATAGTAATACCGAGAAAAACAGTGGTATCCACAAGACTCAACTCCTCCCCATTGAAGAGCACATTGGTTTTCGAATGTTTTACATTAGGTATTGTAAATTTAATACATTTTGTCTTATTGCCGTTTAAGAGCAAATTGTTGGCGTTAAACCAATGTACTAGTTTCGATAGAGCATTATTTACATCGTCATATTTAATTGACTGCCGTTTCAGTTTGAAAATTAAAGAGGTATCGTCAGCAAATAATACTATATCGTGATTGTCCCCTACAAGATAAGGTAAGTCATTAATATAGATTAAGAACAGGAATGGGCCAAGAATCGAGCCCTGAGGAACGCCCATTGATACTACTGATCCGGAGGAACATTTACCATTAATGACGACTTTTTGAGTTCTGTTACTTAAATATGAAGTAATAAGTTTAAGCGCCAAATTTTTTACACCGTAATGTTGTAGTTTCCTGATTAATGTATCATGATGAACACAATCGAAAGCCTTGGAAAGGTCACAGAAAATACCTAAGGCATCTTGTGAATTCTCCCAGGCATTAAAAATATATTTCATAAGCTCAACACCGGCGTCAGACGTCGAGCGACCCCTTGTAAAACCAAATTGATTTTTATGAAGTAATTTATTTGTATTAAAAAAAATTAACAATTGATCCAAAATTATTTTTTCAAAAATTTTACTGAGAGTTGGTAGTACAGAAATAGGTCTATAATTAGCGGGGTCCAATGTACTACCAGATTTAAATAAAGGTATTACTTTACTATACTTCATTAAATCAGGAAACACACCAGAATCGATACAAGTATTAAAAATAATAGCAAGATGAGGTGCAATTAAATCTATTATGGACGCAATCACTGTAACGGAAATCCCCCACAAATCTGCGGTTTTCTTTACATCAATGGTTTTGAAGTATTTTACAATATTATGCGGTAATACTTTTTCAAATCTAAATTCTTTTAAACACGTTTTAACATTCTGTTTAAGTAATGATTCGGCGACAGTTGGAGAAGCATTCAATGACTCTGTTGTCAAGATAGGAACATCAGTAAAATATTTCTCAAACACCGCTGCAACTTCTTGATTTGATTTAGTCAATTCATTATTAATTTTTAATTGATAGTTTGAATTACGAGGTTTCTCTTTACCGGTTTCGCTGTTAATTATACTCCACGTCATTTTAATTTTATTCTTAGCTGTCTTAATTTTGTTACTAATATGTAATGATTTGGCTGTGGAGCAAACTCTTTTAAACATTTTAGAATAATTTTTTACATATTCTTTAAAAGCATCGGAAAGATTATACGATCTTTCATGGTAAAGGTCATATAACCTTCGTCTGCTTTTATGAATTCCTACTGTCGCCCACTCATTAAATGCCTTGCGACTGTTTCTGGAGAATGTTTTAGAAGTGAATGTTTTATTAAATTCATTGTTTATAAAGGTAAATATTCAATTGAAAATCCGAGTTGCGCGGTTTGACCTTGCCCGTTTCACTATTTATTATTCTCCAGGTCATTTTAATTTTGTCGGATGCAGTTTTAATTTTGTTGCTTAAATGTAAAGGCTTAGCAGTGGAGCACACTTTTTTAAATATTTTAGAATATGTTTTTACATAATCTCTAAATATAACACTACTATTATATGATCTTTCATCATAAAGCTCGTATAACCTTCGCCTACTTTTATAAATTCCTACTGTCGCCCATTCATTAAATGATTTGCGACTGTTAAAAGAGAAAGTTTTAGAAGTAAATATTCTACTAAATTCACAACGTATAATTTCAAATAATGTAGCATACAAATAATTACCACTATTTTTAAACGAAAGTGACGGAATTCTTTTTATTATATTACTTCTAAACCTCTCCAAGCGATGTTCATTTATTGGAACAAACACAACTTTCTTATTTTTCTGTTTTTTGTGTATGTAAGGTAGTGATACTAACTGTCCACAGTGATCTGAACTTAAATTTTGAATAATTGATTTATGCAAGGGCTTAACATCTGTAAAAATATTATCTATACAGGTCGCACTAGGCCCAGCAATACGTGTTGGTTCTAAGAATAAATTTACAAGATTATACGATTTAAACAATGAGCTAAACTTAATACTAATGGAAGAAGTTTCAAGGAGATTGATATTAAAGTCTCCACACATTACAACAGACTTGTTCTGTTTACTAAGTTTGAGTAACGGAGCTTACTTACCTATATCCAAGGCGACTGTTCCCTCAGGATTCGGTCAGGTCGCATGTGGTTGTGTGGTGCAAGGGAAATAAGGTGCGGTGATGTGTATCTGGGTGTGACTGGTGGTGATTAACCTATTAGACCTTTGCCGTCGGCAGCAGCCCGGACGTCAGCACCGCTCCAAATTGAGATAATCTTCCGCGGCGCCGTCCACAGTCACTTTCTTCGTTCGTCACGATGACAGTCCATTAACTCTATCGTACTATTAACTAACTTACAGAAGCCACTAACTCTCGTTGTTATAAAGCTTAACACACAAAACGAACAGGGAGTGTCCGGATCAAAGGTCACTACCGTTTCGCGTAGCAACAGTTATTTCTAGAATATCAAAGGCCGCATTAGCTAATATTGTCGAATGCACTTATGCAGATTCTGAGTCAGACACAATGAGTCCCGGGGAAGCTCTCCAGCAAGGAATGCGCGTTACAAATCCTAGACAGTATATTTACTAGCCGCGCCTAATTATTCCGAGTTCCCGAACAAAAATTGACAGCGTGCTGACGTTAGCACAGCTGGCAGACGACTCGTTTGCACTCGCGCGCGCTCGACACATCCAAGCTAGCCCGAACTACAAAACCGGTATGGCACCGAGCCGCGCGCACTCTGACGTCGATTCCGAAACCACCGTTCGGGCGTAAACAATAGGGCTTCTTCGTTTCGAGTATTGTCGAGTCCAGTGTTTGTCAAAATATAATATGAATGAAGAAGACTTATTTTTCCGGAAAGTTCTTAATTTAAATTGCAAATTATAAGTGGCAAATGGAATTTATGAAATCAATTTAAACAGAGAAAATTAAGAACAATTTCACACACTGTATGTAACAGTGCAAGCGCAACCTCAACCTCAAAAGATTTTATAACACACGAGATAGATACGTTTGATTATATATTAAAAAAAATTGACTTAAGTTTAAAAAAAAGTCTACATTTCGGAAGACGCCATTACAACGCGCGCGGTTAGGTCAGTGCCTAAGCGCCAACCGGCACGCGACCGTCGCTGCTATTTATTTTAATTTATTCTATTATGGACACTCAAATGAGGTCCATATTATCAATAATATATAAATTATAATTTATAAATATTAATATAATTTTTTATTTAATAATTAATTAATAATAATAAATAAATATTAATATAATTTGACGGCTCCATAGCGTAGTGGCTTAGAAATGAGATATTGCGCTGGGGGCCACAGGTTCTCCTGATTTCAAACCTGTGAAAATGAATTTGTATACCCTACATATAATTGTTCTGGGTCTGGATGTTTGTCCTCGTGCAATCTATGTTTGTAAACTGCCTCCACGATACAGGAGAAAATTCTAGTGTAGGGGTAATGTTTTATAAAAGAAGAAAAAAATGAACATTTTATGTTTGAGTACGTCACACGGCACCCGCCCTGCGCCCCTCATCTGCAGTCTGGCCAATCACTAAGTGGTCGCTATAAATTCCACAGTATGCGATCGCAATTTTAAGTGCTGATTTACCACGTGCTCGGCGGTAAAGGAAAACATCGTGAGGAAACCGGCATGTCTGAGAAATAAGAAAAAATAATTTGGAAGGCATATGAAGTTCACCAACATGCATTGGGACAGCGCAGCAGACTTCCTTTCCCTAAAACCCTCTCAGAAATGAGAGGAGGCTTGTGCCCAGCAGTAGGACGTATAAATAGGCTGCAACTTTAACTTTTTTGTTTTTACCAATCATCTGTTTGCCTTTTGTTTATTTTGGATTCAAGCAGAATCCAAAATAAATGCAAAAATATTGAAATGTTATGAAAATAAAATTTATAAACTTAGGCCTCTCAATATTTACTTTTATTGTATATACAAAAAAATATAAATATAATTTATGTTATACAACAACATTATGTAATTTTTGATCAATGCAAACTGTTTTCTGTGGACAGCACAATGTTTGGAAATGTCAGTCTATATTTTAATTAAAACCTTCATCTGCTTTACTTGCGTTGATTTCAAAGACGATCTCATATCTCAGAGGGTTGAGAAGTTTTTATGCCAAATATACAGCAGATACAACAGCGTAGATGATATTATGATCTTGTTTGTACATGAGCTTAGCTAGTTATAAATAAAAATCATAAAAACATTCTAATAATAACTTATATTATCTAATTATAAATACTATGATTCTTGCTTTTCTCCACCTTTTTGAATTTCTAAATGTTTTTCAAGATGTGACACAAGTGTCTGCTGACTTTGATTGAGTTGCCCGACAAGACAAGAAGCAGCACTTTGGAGAACACTACATAGTTGACTTCTTGCTACATCTAAACTTGGCAACTTGCTGAACTCCAAAAGCTCATTCTTAGACATAAATTTGTCTTGAATTATGCCCGCTGAAAAAATAAAAGCATGAATATAATTTCTCAAAGCAACAATAAGGTTTATATAATTCACTTTACATTATTTTTTTATCCGTGGGTTCCGTAAGAGGCGACAAAAGTAAACAAGCCAGGAGATGGGCAGCAGCTTCTAGAAATAACAACTAAAAATAAAAAACTGCAGTTGCCAACCCACCTGCCAAGCGTGGCAAGCGCGGCACCCATGGCAAAATTCCCCCTATGAGGCAAATGATGGGGGAGCCTATGCTTAGCAGTGGTTTTAATAGGTTGTAACAGTAACGGTATTCTTATAAGCAAAATAAATTTAAAGTCAAATGTTAGGCTCCTTTTCTGCCTATAGCCCATCTGGGTTAGTATCACCCTTTTAGCTATATCTGCTGCCAAGCAACAGTGTGCAAATTCCAGTGTTCTTATTTGAGAGGCTTAAGAACAGGCTGTAAGGCATTTTACCTAAATGGTGATAATACATTTGTGGCATTATTTTTTTAAAGTTAATAACATCTGTCCTACTAAACTAACATCTGTTCATGTACTTAAGTAATCAATTATCATCAGATGAGCTTTTAGCTTGTTTGACACAGTAATATTGATGTCCGCCCCACTGGTCGGGAAATCCTGTGATAGAGTAATAAAGCAGTACAAATATTAATATTGTTCCAATTCCTATAGGACACATAAATAGATTTGTCTCAATTTACCTTTGATATCAGCTCTTAAGAATGCAATTAATATTGCTAGCTAAGTAAGTGTAAACACTAAACTTATGCTCATTTACGAATACACAAGAATATTTAAAAAAAAGCAAAGTCTTTGTGCTTACCCATTACAACAAGTTGTGGGGCTTTCTTTAAAATTTTGAACATCTTATCAGCATTTTCTGGTTGGCCAAAAATAATATTCTGATGAGAAGTAAAAAGACAATTAACAGCTTCATAGCGAGTTCCTTTGGTAGCCATGCTAACAATTTTTTTGCCATATGTTCTCAAATGCATATTATTTTTCCTCAAAGCAGCAAAAATTGGCGTTTTATCCTCCATACTTATCGAATTCATATGTAAGAAAACCACCATCTTTGAAGTATTAAACCAATCCAGGCATTCTTTTGCTAAAATTCTTTCAAATGGATTATCAATTTCAGTATTTCGTTTTTCTTGTAATTTAGTACAAAGAACAAGATCAGGTAATTTGTATTTAGGGGGTCCAAAAACTGGTTTAGTTAAGTCTATTAAAAGCTGCCTTTCAAAATGAGGTTTCCGAGGTTTTTGTATATTTATTTTTCCACGAAATCGTTTCGCAATTACAAACAAAGCAGGAGTTCGCAACAATCCTGAAAGTCAAATGAAACCTAAACATATAATTTCACAGGTTTTGTAGAAAACGGGGAAAATCAAATATTGTAACCTTACCGTATCCATTTGTGACGGACGCCATATTATAAAGTATTCTTAAAAGTTTTGCTTACAGATAGATAAAAACAACTTAACGCTAGGTTAACACATCGATGAGGTTATAACCTGTCGGAAATATCTGCGAACCTGGCTTGATGACGTCATGCAATATGGAGAGATGGCAACGGTACTGGATAGACGATAACGGGCGGAAATATCTGCGAACCTGGCTTGATGACGTCATGCAATATGGAGAGATGGCAACGGTACTGGATAGACGATAACGGGCGGAGGTGCGGGGAAGCGCGAGGGGAAGCGCATTCCAGCGAGGTTCGCAGATATTTCCGACAGGTTATACAGTTAAGTATTTTTATAAATTATTTTTTTTTCTCAACCTATAATACTTGAAGAACAACAACAACCACAAATCAAAATCATATAGCAATTTACAATTTAGTTTTAGTGTAGTAATTTTACATAGAGATATATACTTCTAAAGGCGGCTCTTCACGTTGGCCAACATACTGGCGAATGTGTTGGCCAAGAACGATGCCCATCGTGTAGAGCGGGTGTTTAAGCTACGTTGGACGATGGCCCACAAGTTGGCGCGAGATCCGTTTGGTGTCGTTTTTTTTACAAAAGATCAAAGGGTTGTGGCAGAGTATTGGCCGCCGCGTCCACACGTTGGGCGCACGTTCAGTTTGCTACGAGCTCCCAGAGTGAGTGATTGCACGCACCTGATTTAAATTTTATATGCACGCATTGTAACTAGTGTCTACATAACGGCAGTAACAATGACCAATGAAAAAACTTTTCGCTTTATAGAGCCCTACCAAGCCGAAAATTGTTTGTGAAACACAAGTCTTATAAAAAAAAAGTTACCCCCACACTAGGATTTTCTCCTGTATCGTGGAGGCAGTTTAGAAACATAAATTGCATAACAAACATCCAGAACCGGAGCAATTATGTGCAGGCTATACAAATACTTGTTCCATGCGGGATTCGAACCCGCGGCCCCAGCGCAGCAATTCATTGCTAAGCCACTACGCCACGGAGCCGTCAAGAAATAAAATTGCTTTTTTTCCATTTCTTTTTGATCACCCTTTTCTTATACACAGTGGAGTAGCGTGCCTTAGAGGGGCTCCGTATCAAAATTGGTCGGGGGGCCCAAATGAAGGGTAAAGATTTTTCACAAAAGGAACAAAAAGTCTTACATTGAATTAAAATAATTATAGATTTATTATATGTTATTACTTACAATTAATACTCCTAGGAACTATGCTAGCCAAACAACTCAAACCAACATCATTTCCCATAGAAGTCTTTAGAATTTTTGCTTACATACGTTTGGGGCCTCTGTAGCCCAGGGGCCCCGTATCATTGATACGGCTGATACAGCGGTAGCTACGCCCCTGCTTATACACATTAACGTTGTAGTGATTGATGTATTAATTTATTTATTGATGTATTAATTGATTTATTGATGTATTAATGCTATGAGACTAGGTAAGATACTAAAATCAAATTAAAAGTTAGGATACTAAAATCATGTTTTTAATGTCTTTATTATTCCCTGTTAGTTACTTTATTTCGTTAATAATACTGTAATTTTTAGCTATGGAAGAGCGAAGTCACCTGTTACAGGCATTATTTTGCTTACTAGGTGACCTCGATCACTGATCATATAATGTAACATTAATGTTTGACGAAATAAATTATTTATTATTATAATTATTAAATTCGCCATATGTACTACTTTGTGCATGAAAGTGTAAATAAATAAATATATTCTATAATTATATAATAACCCTTTTTATAAAGGTTTTGTTTAAGAAAAATTTTACAACAGTTTCATAGACAGGCTTCAAATATTTTCCAGGCCTTAGTTAATTATATCTATCTCTAGGTGTGTTAATGATTATATAGTTTACTTATCTGTATAACGTTAATGTATAATAAAGAAAGATTAAAAATTTATATTAACAATATTAAATATTATAAATAGTGAAAATGAAATAAAAAATGGTGGTATGCTGTGAATAAATAAACCGTAGCAGCCGTTTGCGCATCAATAATAATTTTAATTATTTCGTCCGCACATTGGCCTGAACCGAAGCAAACTGAACGACCTTCCAACGTGTGGACGCGATCACAAATTCTTGGCCAATATCACTGCCAATACATTCGCCTCTATATTGGCCAACGTGAAGATGAAGAGCCGCCTTGTGTAATTTTAGTAATATGAGTATGACATATGATGTTGTTTTTATTATTCGCTCGAGAGAACACGCAAAGGAACTAAGCCATACAGCCTTGTCTTTTTTATTTTGAATATATAGAATTTTTAAAGTGTAAAGGCCGGAACCAAGTCTTATTTTTCTTCTTTCCATCTCTTCAAAATACATAAAGGCCGAAGCCAAGTCTTATTTTCTTTAATTCTTCATATTTTCAAAAACCGTAAAGGCTAAAGCCAAGTCTTCTTTATATTATAATTTTGGTAAGTTTCAATCCGTGTAGATTTGTCAATCCAATATTTTCAAAAACAGGGATACCATATTTCATATTTCTTTTAAAGTATTATGAATAAAATTGCAAAGTGCTAAATATGTCTTAGTATTCCTAAGAACATCTTGCAGGGCACGTGAGATGCTTTCTGAGTTTTCATAAACTTGTATAAGTTTTTCAATGATTAACAATCTTTCTATGGCGTACGCTGAGCAGTTAAATATTATATGTACTGCAGTCTGATCTGCTTGTGTGATGTTGCATGTTGCAGATGCTACTATTCTCATCCTGGAAAGATGAGGGTTCAGTCGATAGTGAGCAAATCTAAGTCTACACATTATTGTATAAAATTTTCTACTATAGTATCTCTCGTTGCGAGAAAACCAAGGAATACTTAATTCTGAATGAATTGATGCATACCAACGACCTTTCCCTGCTTCTAAAACAGCATTCTATTGCATTTTCCACTCTTCTTTTAACTGTAGCTTTAAAATTTAATATAAATCTGTATCTGGTATTGCAACACCGGTTATCCTGTTAATATCAGCTGTAACTATACTTTTAGCTAAATGGTCTGCGCTTTCATTTCCTTGAACACCAATATGTGAGTGAGTCCATAAAAATTCTACTTCCAAATTATTTTCTTTCAATTTCCACGACAAACTTTTGATTTCATATATGATGAAAGACGTTTTAGCATCTAAAGTTCTTGCCTTCAGTGCCTTCAAGACACTCATGCTATCAGAGATCAGTAACCATTTATTAGATACATGTGGGTGTTCTTCTATATATTTAAGAGCGATTAAGACAGCATAACATTCTTCAGTGTATATGCTTGCTGATGCAGGAATGGAAAGGCCACGTCCAGTTTTCAGATGAGGTATGTAAAATGCACAGGCTACTTTATTTTCAACTTTTGAACCATCTGTGTAAATTTGTCGGTATTCATCATATGTAGATATAAGTTCATAAACCTCTTCTTTTCTTTTCAATTTTTCATCAATATTTATGTGTATATCACTGAATTTACTTTCATAATTCTCCTTATAACAAGGATAAGTATGTGTGCTTTTGTGAATTGTATTAGAGCCTTGTTCTTATGGTTATTGTTCATCATATTGTATCACTTCATGAAAGTCATGGAGACATACTATTATAGTAAAATAATACTTTTTGAAAAAAAGGATGATGAGACAAAGAATTAATACTTAATAAAAACCTAAATTTCAGATATTTAAAGCTAAGTAAGATAGGAGGAGTAAGACATTCAGTTCTCATAGAACCGGTAATTAGTCTTAAATTCTTATTTTGTATAATATCTAATTTGTTTACTATTTTTTTTTTGAAACTTTTTTTTTTCTACGTTTCCCCATGATGGATGAACCTAGTAACAATAAAACAATAAAAGTTTAGTGCCTTTTAACTAAACAAAACAAAATTAAAATTTTAGTTTAAAAAAAGGCGCCTATCACGTTTCAAGGTTCCCGCGCTCCTCCTATGACATATGATAATTATTGAGATTATGATTGTTTGTTGTTTTTATTATTCGCTCGAGAGAGCAGGCAAAGGAACTAAGCCATACAGCCTTGTCTTTTTTATTTGAATATTCCTTCATAGTTCACTGCTTCACAATATGTTGATGCGTCACATTGTGCAGCCCTCGGGAGAATTTGACACCAACTTGAGCCAGCAGACAGCTGACAGTTGGCGATGGTATCTAAAGGCGCTTATGCAGACAAACAGCTTATCTTGAGAATCCATCACCATCAAAGTACTTGTTTCACCGTTTCCACTAATAATTCACATGCGTAGATAGTTAATACATAAAATCGCACCACCTTTACATATCAAAATCCACTTCAAACTATTATTTAAACTATAAAACAGGAGCAGCAAACTGCCACTTGTCAAGTTCCCGCCACAATCCCCCCAGGACAATTGACATTATGAGTTCTGACATAATGCCAAACAAAGAGTATAAACATGGAAATATATGTACCGTGAGTATAAATAATCACTACGTTTTTACTAAAGCAATTACACAGATTATAGACCTGTCTATGGTAGCCGGGTACTCAGAAACTATATTATGATCCATTTTCTTAATAGTTTGTGATTATAAACATAGAGCTACACGGGCCACCACCAAAAATGATCACTTGTTATTTAGTAATAATAACTCATTTATTTCGGACAAACATTATTATCCATAGTTGTTAGTAAATGTTTTCTAAGGTCTAGTGTTAGTAACATGTCGTTGATAACACAAGTACGAAACTGCACCGATGGTGGCAAGAAACCAGTCTACAAGGCAGCATGCAGCGGTATCCAGTAAGCCAAAACCGTCAAGCTGCAGCGGTCGGCAGTGCGCGCAGGATGGTGTTGTGGCTGTCGCATACGCGCCAAAGTAGCGAGGCGCAGCGCTTGCTCATGATTGCAGTGAATCCGTCCGTGTGAACATCCGCAATCATGGCGGAGGCGTTGCAGTAGCGCGGCAGACCCTTCAGCACCCTGAACGCATTATTATATTGTATCCGCAGGTCACTAAATCCCCTCTGCGTATAGTTCACCCACAGACTGCAAGAGTAAAAGGACTGGCAATAAGTTTTAAAAGCGTAACCTTAACTTGACTAGACCATCGTACAAATCTGCGGACAAACATGTTGCAGCGGACAGACAGCGCCTTCCTCTCTCTCTCTTCCTATGTCTAAGTTGTCTTTTTGACCTTCCGTGACCCAGTGGCCTAAATACTTAAAACGCTTCACCTTCTCTGAAGGTACCACCTAACGTAATATTCGGAGATTCGTGTAATACGATCCCTCGAGGTAAAATGATTCCCCACTGTTAAGATTGACTACTAGCTATCTAGTACATCTATCCACATACGCAACACAGGTCAACCCCGCAACCCTGCCAGTTGCCTTTCTGAATGTCTTGACAGTATGAGCGTTTAGCATTATTTTATTAGAAAAAAAAACGTGCTACTAATCTATGGTAAGTCTAGTTTTAAGTTTCATTACTTTTTGCATTTTAAGATTTATTCAAATATTGTTTTAATGGCGGATTTCATTAAAGTTCAGCTATATT